TGCCCTCGCTGCAGCAGCATCTCTTCCTCATTCCCAAAGGGTCTAGTAACCCGCATCCCTTTTTGATGGCTGGCATGATTTTTCCTCTGAAGTTCAACCTTGCCTTCAAGGCTTCTTTCCATCAGCTGTGAGGAATGTGCTTCCTCCTTTTAATTGTACTGTTGTCATACTATTTCCTTATCTCCTCCTCCTCTTTCCCACTGATACTTCTTTCCCCACACCCATGAGAGACAAAAGCCCATAGAATAGGCATGACAAAGTCTGGGTGTTGCAAAGCAGTTAGCCTGGCAGAATTTTCAGGGGATCTGGTCCCTCCCCACACAACTGGACAATACAACTCAGGTTTACTCCTTAGGACAATAGCCAAATGCTGGATTACCTTCAGTAGTAGTAGTAGTAGTAGTAGTAGTAGTAGTAGTAGTAGTAGTAGTAGTAGTAGTAGTAGTAGTAGTAGTAGTAATAGTAGTAGCAGCAGCAGTAACAATAGTAGTAGTTCTTACAGTTGTAGTAGTAGTACGAGTAATGGTTTTGGTGGTGGTAGTAGTAGTAATAGTAGTGGCAGTGCTGGTGATGGTAGTAGTAGTAGTAATGGTGGTAGTGGTAGTGAAAATTGTGGTGGTAGTGGTAGTAATAGTAGTGGTGGTGGTGATGGTGGTAGTAGCAGTAGTAATGGTGGTAGTGGTGGTGAAAATTGTGGTAGTAGTAGTAGTAATGGTGGTGGTGATGGTGGTGGTAGTAGCAGTAGCAGTAATAACAGTCGCAGCAACGGGAGTAATATCTAATACTTACATAACACATCTTAGTTTGCAAAATGCTTTACATGCATCACCTCATTTGATTTTTCACAACTCTGTGGTATTGGTGTTATTATCTCCCTTTTTACAGATAAGGAAACCAAGGCTGAGAGATTAAGCAATTTGCCCAGACTCAGAGGGGAGTAAATGTGTGAGGCAGGATTCAAATTTAGATCTTCTTGACTCCGAGCCCAGCGCCTCAAGTCTCTCCCTATGCCAGGCAATTATTTTTACTCTAAAGATCTGAGATACAGGCCAGCCTTCCTTCAGCACCCAAAGTGATTTCTCTAAAGTGCAAGCCTGACCCTTTTACCCACCCCACACCTGCCCCAATACAAACACTCTATAAACTCCAGTAGCTCTGTGATTTCCAGTATTAAATATAAAACCCTCTCTCTATTTGGAATTTAAGGCCTTTCACAGCCTGAGTCCTTCCTACCTTTCCAATTTTCTTATACTTTCCTCCCTCCCCCCCCCATTCTATAATCCAGCAATAGTGGCCTATTTACTCTTCCTCCTACACAAAACACCATGACTTGTCATTGGCTGTCCCCAAAAAGTAGAATGCTGTCCTCCCTCCCCTTTGTGTCTTCACTTCCTTGGCTTCCTTCATTCTCAGTATGAGTGCTTTCCTTCTGACGTTACCTTCCGTGTACACTCTGTATGTGTGTGTGTATGCACACACATATGTATATACATATATACATGCACGTATAGATGTAGCTATGTGCGTATACACATATACAATGTTGTATGTTCTTAGTTATTGGCAGCTCTCTTCCCCATTTGGATGTGAGCTCCTTGAGGGAAGGGACATTTTGTTTTTGCCTTTCTTGTATCCCTAGCTCTTAGTACAGTTTCTGGGACATAGTAAGCTCTTAATGATACAACCCTGCTTACTGCACACTCTTTTTTTCCTTCCTAGTCTAATTAAGAAACCACTTCTGGGCCCAGAGGGACAGGATTGCTATATCCACTCTCTTTTCACTGAGGGCCCTTCTGCTGAACACCTACATATTGGATTCAACACAGTTCAGTCCTGAAGGAGCCTGGCCTCTCATGAGAGGGATGCTAGACTCCTTTTTCTCCCTCTTTGGTTCATTACCCTACCCCTTGGGGCCTAGCATCAATAGAGTCTCTGCTGAGCATATGGAAGTGCTAGCTGCCTGGAGTCCCACCGTGTGGTAGCATAGCATCCCTCTTGCCAAGGAAGGGTGAGACTTAGGACATAGTATGGGAAAGAGGAGTTTTGTGGGAGATTTCTGAGATTCCTTTTGGATGTACCTTCCCAATGGAATGGCCGGACTTTTCCTTCTACCCTAGGGTTCATTCCTGATTGCTTTGTCTTGTTGAGTCACAGAATCATTGCATTACAGATCCAGAGAGGAGGGGACCTCAGGGCACCTAGTTCCATCCCTTCATTTTATAGATGAGGAAACTGAGGGTCAGGGAAACTAAGTGTCTTGTTCATTCCTTTCAGTTGTGTCTGACCCTTTGTGACCCCATTTAGGGTTTTCTTGGCAAAGATACTAGAGTGGTTTGCCATTTCCTTCTCCAACTTATTTTACAGATGAGGAAACTAAGGCAAACAAGATTAAATGATTTGCCCAGGCTCACACAGCTAGTAAATATCTGAGGCTGGATTTGAACTCAGGTCTTCCTGACTCCAGGCCCAGAGGTCTGTCCACCGCACCACCTAGCTGCCCCATCATACAGAGGATTAGGCATCAGAGGCAAGATTTGAACCCAGATCCTCTGACTCCAAAGCCAGGATTCTTTCCATTGCCCCATGTTGGCACAGCTTTATGAGACCCCTAAGTCATGGCTCTTAAAACATCTACTGCCTTTTGACTGTGAAATGCCAATGGAAATGAATACAGATTTTGTAAAGTATGTGTTAGGTGTATGGCAGAGGGATCAATCTATAGACTCGTGGACATGGCTATGTGAGAGTCTCCTTTTTAAAGGAGAATTTGGAGAATTAACTTCTACGGCCCTGGAGTCAGGAGGACCTGAGTTCAAATCCAGCCTCAGACACTTGACACTTACTAGTTGTGTGACCCTGCGCAAGTCACTTTGCCTAACCAAAAAAAAAAAAAACCGAGAGAATTAACTTCTAATAATGATTGATCAAGTTCCATGACCCTTGTTTTTTCTCTCCTTCACCCTTCCATCTGATTTCCACTTTTTCTTACTTAGTCATTATTATGACTACATTTACTGGGGGAAGTGCTAGAAGAGGGCTAGAAGCCACAATATCCAGGATCCATAATGGAATATGTCTGCCTGACTTCATCTCCAAAGTCAACCTCAATTCCTTGTTCTCACTCACCTTACATATCCAGTCCTTGCCAAAGTCTGTCATTTCTGTGTCCACATGGATCCTCCTCCCTACTCTTACAGCCACAATCCCAGTTGAGGCATTCATCACCTCTTGCCGGACCATTGCAATAGCATTATAACTGGTCTCTCTCTACACCAGTGCATCCTCTACTCAGCTGCCAAGGTGATTGTGCTAAAGCACATGCTTGACCATGTCACCCCACCTACCTCTTGCCCTGCTTAGTGAATTGCTCCCTATTACTTCCAAGCTCAGGTATAAAATCCTGTGTTTGGCAGTCAAAGCGTTTCATAAGCCATTTCCCCTTCCTACCTTTCCAGTCTTCTTACACCTCACCTCCTCCACACACTATAATCCAGCTCTACTGGCTTGCTTGTAGTTCCTTTTACAGGACTCTCCATTTCTCAGGCTTTGCACTGACTGCTCCCCCTACCTGGAATATTCTGCTCCTTCAACACCATCTCTTAGTTTTCCTGGCTTCCTTATGGGAAACCTTCCTTATTCCCCCAGCTGCTAATGCCTTCCCTCTGAAATTATTTTCTATTTGCATTGTATATATCTTGAACGTACGTAGCTACTTACATGCTGTCTCCTCCATTAAAGTGTATGTCCCTTGAGGGCAATGACTATGTCCTCAAGGCACTTTTCCCTCCTTTCTTTGTATCCCCTACACTTAGCATGGTGCCTATCAATTAATGAGTGCTTAATAAATGTCTGTTTGCCAACTAACTAAGTCATGGGAGCTACTCAACCCTGGGGGAAACTCCAGGACAACAGACTGTTATGGAGTTATGCTTAGATTTAGAAATTACATCAATAGACCCAAACTCAGAAAGAAGTTGGAAAAAAAAACAGAGAAAACACACATAAAGGAAAGTCGTAAGGCATTCCTGAGTGTCTGTGGTTGGAGGTTTGAACAGGATGGGTCTGATATCATGGAGCACAGGCTACTGAGCATGGGATGCTATTACTGGAGGCTTCATTCTGCATGTTCAAGTTCTGAAGATGTTGGAGGACAGGAAATCAGGTGTTTGACTCCACATGGGGAGAAATGATAGCTGGATCTGAAGTGAATCTAATACTGATGGGCTACAATAGATCCCCATGCTAGTCACTGAAAGAATACTGAAAAAAGATGGAAACAACATGACTGACTCTTTTTTAACCTCATCCACCCACACACTGAAGGATAGTTGCACCACCCTTTCCTAGGTGTTCTTCAGGCTGTTTTTTCCCTACCTAACACCTCCAAGAGGTGTGGGAGGTTGCAAACGTGTTTGGGGGAGGCAAAGAATACTTCTAATACTTTATTCCCTCATTATTGATATTGTTTTTGATGTCTTAATTAAAAGCTTTGTTCTTGGATTTGTAGTTCTTGACTGGTCTGTGATAGAAAAATGGTGCACTAGTAGGGGCTCATACATTGATTTTCCACAACAGCCCACATCAAACCTTGGAAAAGTAGTAAGGGGTTCTAGAACTAAAGTAGGAAAAGGGTCTAGTACCATATAGGTAAAAACCTTTAAAATATTTTGTAAATGTCAGCCCTCATCCTGTGGGGTATTAATTACAGGGAAGATTACCTCATCATGGCGAATTAACGACCATAAGGCCTTTGGTCTGATATTTCCATGACATTAGCTATCTTCCTCCAAAGTCTGTCCTAATGTTGAATATACATCCTGATAGGTTTGATCCTGTCTTCCTAAATTACTGTGCATCCAACTTATGAAATTCTAAGCTAACAGTGTTGGCAGCTCTACAGGGATAGAGTTGTTTTTCCTTCAAGTAGGCCTTCATTGGCAGTGGTTGAATGTTTCTGAAGCATTGATTACAATCATGATTTCTCTCTTTTCTGTCTCAAGAGGCTTTGGGGAAGACGCCGAGCCTGGGTCTGTTTCTTGGGGCTTTGATGTCACCCATCTGGTGCTACAACCACCTGAACCAAAGTAAGTTTCCCATCATCAAGCATGTAAAATAGCTAGATGCCACCTCCACCTAAAGAATTTGAAAGGATGACAACTGGAGAGTTAGTTTGCTATTCAAATGACCTGAAATTATATAGATTCTTAGTATCGAAGCAGATTTAAGGGAGGGGTAAGAAAGAGAGAATGAAAGGAGGAACCAGCGAATGTGTTTCAGTCATTGGTTATTGCCTATTTTGTTACCATGTGGACCTGCCCAGATATGCCACTTTAGGTGCATCTTATGAGTAATTCTTCTCCTAGAACAATGGCCCCTTCTATAATTAGTCAAGTTCAGCCGAATGGGTTGGACCCAGCATTCTGCCACATTCCAAAGGGATGAGCCAACTGAATGCTAAATAGGAGAAACTCAGCTCTCCAGCTACCGTTTAGCTTAAACATGTAGAAGCTACCTTTCTCCTGTCTCCTCTCTCTCTCTCTCTGATCTGTTGCCCAGGTAAAAAAGAGGCCAGGGGAGATAAAGGCACTGGTGGGTAGAAACAATGGTTAATGGGCATTTGGAGTGCACCAGATAAGAAGGGACCAAGGTAAGCGATTCTACAATTGAGGCAACAGGATTCACACTCATTTGGTTATGCCAAGAACCAGTTCTATAAGTTTGCTCAGCTGGGAGGTATGGCTTTCAACTGTCTAAGTCCAGAACTAGACTCACAAAATCCTTTCTAATCTCTCTCACCACACCACCTCCTCCAAAAGATTAATCATTAGGCTAGAAAAAAGTCATGTAAATTCCAGTGCAGGAACTCCTTAGTAAAAGTAATTCAATTCTGCCTCCAGATTCTGACCATCCCATGTGTCTTCTCGCTTCATTTGTTTAATTAAAATGGACCCTTTCCCATGTAGAAGGAATGAGGAAAGATGAGCTGCCTGTGAATATGCATTGCCACCAGTCTTCCTCATCAGTGTGGGCTTCTAAACTTGCCCCACACTCTGGGCTGCTTCCTTGAGATTCCCTGAGTCCCATAATGCTGTGGAGAAGGCAAAGAGAAGGTTATCATCACCTGCCATATTTCCCAGTCTGCTCTCCAGGTCAAACTACAAATCTAGAACAATCATTTGAACACGAATGTCTATGAAAGGAAAGGCAAAAATTAGAAAGTTGTGAGTGACTGACTAGATTTAATGCTGTGTCTGCATGAATTTTGAGGGGATAGGTTTCTGAAATAACCCACCAGTTGTCATGAAACAAGATTTGGGCATTTCATCCTAGCCAAGATGTCTATTTCCAGACTTAGGCCCAGAGTAACCCTCAATCCCTTCCTAGAATAAGGCTTTCTTAGGTCTGAAGGACCTTGATCCCAGTTTGCTTCTAGGGCTAACCTAAGAAAAGTAATTTTTGATTCCTTTGGTCTGAGAACCTTTGAATGCTCAACTAAGAAAGTTCATTGACTCCTTCTGACCCAGAAGTGGTTTCGCTAGGCAGTGTTCCAGGTGAGACTGGCCTGGGAATTGACATTGTGACCTCTTGGGCTGGGGTTTATCCTGGGCTAAACACCTTGACTAGAGGCCAGGAGCTGCTGCAATCAGGATAGGGCTTGTCATCTGTAGGCGTCTGTGGGGCAGGTACCCCACATAGTCCTACTGTTCCTTTCGCCCCAGGAGACACCTGTGCCCCAGGCAAGCACAAAGGTATGGTACAAGGACCAGAAATGTTTGGTTTATTAAACCCACGGCTGGTAGGAGTTGGGTTCCCAGGGTACCCCGACTCTTCCCCTAGAAAACTGAATTTTTCTAATGACTCAAGACCCTCAGCTCCTGTGAGCTATCAGCAGTCTCTATATAGTACTGAAGGCAAGGGAAATCTGGAAGTCCTGAACCAGCTATCCAAAGTGGTTTGCTGGGGAAGGAGTATAAGATGATTCCCTCTTCATCTTCCCTACCTCAGAAGCTGCCTTTCTCCGTTTGACTGACTTTGTCTAGATGTGAGATTGGCATCTTTCTAAAAAGTGCTGTCAGGCCATATAAACCAGCTTCTCAGGGTATCGGGGTGGAGGAGCCCATCTCCATAGCAACAAAGTGGTAGTGTTTTTTATTTATGAAGAACCACAGCCGCCCCTAGTGTTTTTTACGAGTATAAAAAAGAAAAATCAACAGACCAGAACAAGGCTCCCTCTACAAAGAGCTGGCATTCCAGAGGTCCTATCCCAAGAAACAGGGTGTGTGTTTGTGGTATATTGAGGTTCAAAGGAACCAAAGATAGAGAATCCAGTTTGATCTGAAGGAGGGAACAGACAATACCAGAGGTGTAGTCACGATACTGGAGGTGGGTCAGGAGATTTGCATGGTTTTGGAGATCCAAATATGGGCACTCCCACGGCATTTTTAAATGTACATACCAGTTCCACAAGGAATGTAGTCTGCTGGGAGATGGAGTAATATCTCTGATGCATGTACCCTGGTTACCTCTCCCCTCCTCCCCCACATCTGGAGACAGGGGACCATCAAAGGCAATGAAATGTAGATGGCTTCTGAGGCTCTTCCAGTCCCACCAGTTATTTCCCATTGTCTCCTTAGTGCCATGACCTTGAAGACAATGGATATGTACATTGGCACCTGAAGAAGTCTGTATCTTTCACTTTAAAAATAATAAACAAAACAAAACAAAAATCCTTTCTTACCCAGAGCTTGGCTCTTTAGGCACAGATTGGTTTTTCTCAGGCTATTAATAAACAATTCTGTGCTATTTAGAAAAAAATTTACTAATTATTAGAGCTATCCAGAAGTGGAATGAGCCACCTAATGAATTAATGGGTTCCCTCCTCCTTAGAGGTCTTCATACTGAGGTTAAATGACAACTTGTCAATCATATTTGAGTAAAGATTCTTCTCTAGGAATATGGTGGAACAGATGGTTGTGAAAGTTCCTTTTAACCCTACATTTTGTGATTCTTCATTACAGTTACAGTTCTACTTCATCAGTGATGTTTCCCAAGCAAAGAGACACTAACACTTTAATGGAGTAGCCATGCCATAATGATATAATTTCTACCTTCTTAAAAAATGGCAAGAATATTTGTAGAACTCATGGGCAGAAAGACTGACAAGACCTGGCCCACTCTCCCCTATCCCATCATCATGGCTATCTTAGGAACAGAACAGAACTATACAATATAATCTGAAGGAGTTGAAAAATGATACTGACAGAGAACAAAAGGCTGCAGATAAGTTGAGCTGAGTGGTGTGTTGATCAATTCCTCGACTATATGTAAAACAAGACAGGTGGATGAGCAAAGAATCGTGGAATCACAATTTTCCCTCTTAGGGATGCTGAGTGGATGAATTGGTGGGTAAGCTCACAAGTTTAGGGAGTGTCACTTGTGTTCTCTATGACACCCGAGGAACTGTAGCATCAAGGATCCAAATTCCTTCCAGAATCTAAATTGCTTTTAGGTAATATGTTATTTCAGTACTTACAAAGATCAGTGATTTTATCAGTGTGGCCACTCCCTCTACCAAGGTAGACCACAAACCCTGTTACACCTCAGGATAATCTTCACGAGCTACTGTGACCAGAACAATTCATCCCTCATGATCACAAGTGATAAGAACGTACACCACACTCCCTGGAAAAACCTTGGGAACTGGAAGAGACTAGAACGAATTGAATAGTTAGCTCCTCTTCAGTGGATTGAGCTACAGATTGGGTTCTCCATTCTGGTTTCATCTCAGACATATCTTACAATACTATCCTCCCACTCCCTGTTTTTCCTTCTCTTGGGAACTACAATGACCATTGATTATGAAAAGGGCACATCAAAGAAAAGTAAAGAATCTTAAGGGAATGAAAAAAGTAGAAGAGAAAGGAGACAAACAGTACCAGATTTCAAACTATACTACAGAGCAGTAATCATCAAAACAATTTGGCAAATTCTTTGTCATAATGGTCTCTGGGAGGATGAAGGGAGAAAGAAGTGGAAAAAATAGGAAATTTTAAAATATATGTATATCAATAGCCATTTATTTTTAAATGATTTCATAGTAATTAAAAATAAGATATTGATCAATGACAGATAAGCTACATAACATACAGAAGCAAATGGATATAGTAGTCTAACGTCAGATAAATCTAAGGACCATAACTACTGGAGTAAAGACTCACTCTTAAACAAAAACTGCTTGGGAAAAACTGGAAATCAGCCTGGCAGAAATTAAGTTTGGACTAACACTTTATAATGTCTATCAAGATTAGCTCTAAAAGAATACATGACTTAAATATATAAAAAAATCATAATATAAACAAATTAAAGGAACAAAGAAGAAATCTCTTCAGATTTATGTTTATAACCAAATAAGGGATAGAGAGGATAGCAGAAAAGAAAATTTGCAATTTTGATTGCATAAAAATTTAACGTTTTTGCATAAACAAAATGAATGCAGCTTAAATTAGAAAGGAAATAGTTAACCGAGGAAAAAATCTTTGCAACAAGTTTCTGTGATAAAGGGTTCATTTCCAAGATGTACTAAAGAATTGACTGAAATTTGTAAGAGCCATTCCCCAATCAACAAATGGTCAAAGGATATGAATAGGCAGTTCTCAAAATAAGAAATCCAAGCTACCAACAACCATATGAAAAAATGCTCCAAATCACCAATAATTAGAGAAATACAAATTACAGCAACTCCGAAGTTTTACTTCAACACCCACCCAATTGGCAAAATTGACAAAAATGGAAAATAAAAATGTTGGAGATGCTGCAGAAAACTGATACACTAATTCACTATTAATGGAGCTATGAATTGCTAGGGCCATTCAGGAAAACAATTTGGAACTATACTTAGCAAGTCACTAAAAGGAACATACTCGTTGACTAAGTAATACTTCTACTGAACTTCAATGACTCTGGAGGAGAGAGTGAGGCTGATGACTTTGCACAGCCCTGCCTCACTTAAATCCAATTCACTTTCAAGTCAAGACGTTTACCCTTGTGATGTCATTGATCCTCTTCAAGAACAAAGGATGAAAACAACAACAACCTCTACTGGGCTTATACCCCAAAAAGATCAAAGAAAGAGAAAAAGAGCCTATATCTATAGATCTACATATCTATATCTATTTATATATATATGTTTGTAGCAGTTCTTTTGGGGCTAGCAAAGTACTACAAAATAAAAGGTTGCTTATAAATTGGGAAACAGCTTAACAAATTATGATATAAGAATGCAACAAACATACTATTGTGCTATAAAAATCACAAAGAGGTTGGTTTCAGAAAAACCTGGGAAGACTTAGATGAAATGACACAGAACAAAGTAAGCAGAACTAGGAAAACAATTTATACAACAGCAACGTCATAAAGGCAAACAGCTTTGAAAGAATTATAAACTCTGATCAATGCAGTAACCAACCATGATTCCAAAGGTTTGATAAGGAGCCATGCTATCACCTCCTGATAGAGATGTGATAGATTCAAGATGAAGAATGAAACCTACATTTTTGGATGTGGATAATTTGGGAATTAATTTTGCTTAACTCTGCATATTTGGCACAAAAGTTTTATTTTTCTTTTTTTCCCAATTGGGGAAAGTGGGAAAAAGGAAAATAAACGTTTATTTATTTTAAGAGAAATTTTTTAAAAAAAAGTAATTATTTGATTCCTCTAGGGCTCCATATGCCATTCCTGCTACTTCCCAGGCCAAAATATTATTCCTAGGCCACCATATGCTTTGTTTTCCCCTAAAAAGCCCTTTGAAGACAAAGATGAGGTCTCACTTCTGTATTTGTATCCCTAACAATTAACCTAATGGTTAGCACTTAGTAAATGCTGAATAAATGCGTTTCATTCATCCATATTCCACAGCTGTTTTGGCATGAGGCAAAGCCCTGATGCTCAATGGTCTTGCCCATAATTAGAATGACTTCACAGCAAGGTGTTCTGGCTCCATCTCCTGAGATCTGTAGCTTCTTTTCCTAAGGTCATCTTCAGCATCTCTGAGGTTCTTTCCTAGCTTTACCGGCTCTGAAAACAATGACTCACTCACAGTAAGCGGCTGATAGCGATGCCTGCAGGTAACCAGGCCAAGCCGAACCAAAAACATCACACTTGTCGCAACCATCAGGACAACTGGAAGAGAGAAATAAGAATAAGGACAGGGTAGAAAGGAGATGCCCTGTTGTTTACTTTATAAGAAGGAAAGTGACGATCCCTGATAAACAGAAAAATGGCAGTAACAAAGGCCGTGTGTGCTTTCAGGTTTCACAGATGTGCATGGGAGGGGATTGAAAGTGTAGGTCAGAAATAATTCCACACAGGCTTACACAGACCTGGCACAGAGCTGGATAGAGCGCGTATGAAATTTAGATATCAACTAATCCATCCATCCACCTTGGTTTTTGTTGGTTTTTGTTTTTTGGCTTTTGTTGGTTTTGCTTTGTTTTCAGAATTCGAGGACCAGTGAGCTGAAATGAACCAAAGGTCTCACTTTGGTTCAAAGCAGTACTAAGGGGTCATGTCTCCTGACTCCAAAGTCAATACCCTTTCTACTACCCCTCACTGTATATACCTTTGCATTGAAAATCAAGGAAAGGGGGCAGCTAGGTGGTGCAGTGGATAGAGCACCGGCCCTGAAGTCAGGAGGACCTGAGTTCAAATCCAGCCTCAGATCAGATCAAATACTTGACACTTACTAGCTGTGTGACCCTGGGCAAGTCACTTAACCTCAATTGCCTAAAAAATAATAATAATAATGAAATGAAAGTCAAGGAAAATAATTATCGACCTTCCTCTCGTTCCAGTAGCTCATAGGAATGTGATAGAGGTGCATCAGATGTTTGGAATGGCTAAAAAGACTCGTTTACCTGCGAAGATGTTGTTTCTGCTTGGAGCAGATGTATTATAGTGCTGAGCAATATTGCCAGACAATGCGACCATGACCACCGGGTATACAGTGAGGATGTAATGCACATATTTATCCAGGAGGAAGTTTTCCAGGTAGAACCTAAAGGAGAGAAGCAGTGACAGCACTTATGAAGTAAATACCTTTATAATTCTCCAAATTGACTTTCTGGGACTTCTACAGAGCATCTCATAAAGAGAATCAATCAATCAATCAATAAGCATTTATTAAATACCTACTGCATGCCAGACACTAAGCTAAAGGTTAGGGATACAGAAAGAAGCAACGATAATTCCTGCCTTCAAGGAACTTACAATCTAATGGAGAAGGCAAGAAGCAAACAAATGTATGCAAAGCAAGGCATATATAGGATAAATATGAAACAACTAACAGAAGGAAGGCACTGGCATGAATAGGGGTTGGGGAAGGCATCCTGTAGAAGATGAGATTTTAGTTGGGACTTAAAGGAAGCTAGGGAGGTCCGTAGCTGAAGTTGAGGAAAGTGTTCCAGGAATGCGAGATGGCCAAAGAAAACGCTCAGAGCCAAGAGATGGAGTGTCTTGTTCATGAAACAGCCAGGAGGCCAGCGTCACTGGATAGAAGAGTATGTTTCGGGAGTGAGATGAAAGAAGACTAGAAAGGTAGGAGGAGGGATGGGAATGCCAAAAATATCAGCATTGCCAAGTGAAAGAATTAGAAGGGCTTTTCTGGGGGGGAGGGTTGGGAAGCTTTTGTTTTTTCCCTGGTCAGAGGACAGTCTACTGTGCAACAGAGAAGACCTGGCTTCTGGATGGGGAGTTGGGAAAATCAGTGCCTTTCCTATCTCTTCTCCACATTTACTCAGTAAAGATTACTTCCTTGGGGGGTGTCTTAGGGTGACCTTATATTCGAGAGTTTGGGGATCATACCTTGTAGAGCAGGGACTCTTAACCTGGAGATGGTGAAATTTTTAAAATATACAGATAAATAACTGTATTTCAATATAATTGGTTTCCTTTCTATGTATGTATTTTGTTTTATGCATTGAAAAAACTTATTCTGAGAAGGGAGCCATAGGCTTCACCAGACAGCCCAAGGGGTCTATGACACAGAAAAAAGATTAAGAGCTACTATTCTAGACAGAGAAAGTATTTGCTGAGCAGCATTACCTCTTAGAAAAAATCGAGGATTCTACGGCATCGTACTCTTTAACTTCTCCATCCTGGCCCTCACCCCCATGGCTGGGAGAACAGTCATGTGGATTTATGACTTGAGGAAGCAAGGAACCTGGACCTTGCTCTAACAGTGAGTGACTCAAACAATGAAGGTATGAGGGCAAGGAACAATGCCTGCTCAGCCTGACAGGATTGTCTTATTGGGGGGTCTGTTGCTACTTGAGTGCTTTATTACATTTTCTAGATCTGCTTACTAGATTCTTATGAGTTTTTTGCCTCTTCTGCATTTTCTGTGAATTGAAATAAAGACTTCTTGGAATGATATGAATGCACCACCTTGAGTGTTTGCACAGGAGCTTGAGACCCTGTTGTCTATATTGGAAAAAACCTAGATAAGAGCTATTCCCAAGCTACATTTTGAGATTTCCAGGCAGGTGGGAGCAGAATGAGCTAAAGAGAGAAAGTTATCTGGGTTGGACTTGATCCACCAAGGGCCCAGGGGCTTTGGGGACCTTAGGCTACAGATTACAACATCAAAAACATCAGAATTGAGACCAAATTCAGTGATCAATATTGTTCTATAGGGCCAATGATGAAACTTTTCTGCTCTCAGTAAAAGGGGTTCTTCCCTTAAGTTAAGGAAAAAACAGCTGACCAATGAATGTTACTTGGGAAATGACTTGGCAGTATTAAGAATTTTACATTACATTATAAAAATAAAAGCCATCAACAAAACATTTTTGAAAGAATAGAAAAAAAAAAAACCGGAATTCCTCCCTTCCTCTTCAGCCCTCTCCTTTTCCTCCTCCTTGGCATTTCTGATTGGTTTAACCCAGTTAGGCAGAGGCTGAACATTTTCACACTTGAGACTGAGAAATCCATTTTGGCCAAAAATGGAGCCAAATGGAGCCTACAAGTTAATTATGGACAGATGTATCTCTGACTCTAATTGATTCTGCCTAGAGCTAGTTAAGGAATTTTGAAGTGAAATTTCCTCCTGAGGAAAACGGTAAGATACTGTCTTTTTCCATACTCTGGTGTCTCAGCCAAGAATATCATTGAGCTTTCCCATGCAGATGAAATAGCAGTCACTTTCTCACTGGAGGAGATGCAAAGGGTAAAAACAGAACTCTAGGGAAAAATCACGAATGTTTGATATGGCTGAAATTCCCATGAAGGAAGATAACAGATGACAAATAACTGAGCCTGGCACATAATAGGCACTTGATAAATGCTTATCCATTGATTGATTAACAGAGTGAGAAGGCCCCATTTTCGCTGAGGTCACCTGGGAAGACATCCAAATTTCAGCAACCTTGGAACAGAGGGGCAACAAAATGAGTGATTGGAAGAGCCCAGGGAAAGAGATTTTGGGTTTTCTTTTACTGTGTGCATTGTGAACACTGGGGCCAACATCGTTCATGGAAATCCTAAATCTAGAACTAGAAGAGACCTTAAAGGACATCTAGTCCAACCTTCTCATTTTACAGGTGGGGAAACTGAGGTCTAGGGAGGTTAAGTCATTTGCCCAAAGTCACACAGCAATGAATAAGGTCCGTAAAGCATAAACTGCTGACATAGACCCATGGTATTTTTGACAGAGACAACAAGGAACAAATTTGGAGAGCGTCTTGGCTTTTCTTCATGGAAGCAATTTCAAAGGTTAAGGTTCTACCTCTAAACCACCTCTAGGTTCTAGCAGCAGTCTATTAGAAATTTATCCAAACCCTTCTTGAACCGATTTACATTTTTAGTCCATGATATGTTTTACCATCCCAGAGCATATCTATTTCTCTGTGCCTAATATTACTATGTAAATTCACCTTTAATTATCCTAAACATATGGTTTTCAAACTTTTCACAACAAGCAATCTTGCAGAGTGGAGGACAAACACCTGGGTTCTAGGTCGCCTAAAGACCTGTCACTAAGTAACTATATGAGCTTGAGCAAGTCCCTTGTAACTGGGCCTCAACTTCCACATCTGTGGAATGAGAGGAGTGGACTAAAAGAGCTTTAAAATTTCCATGTAGGGGCAGCTAGGTGGTGTAGCGAATAGAGCACCTGCCCTGGAGTCAGGAGGACCTGAGTTCAAATCCAGCCTCAGATACTTGATGCTTACTAGCTGTGTGACCCTGGGCAAGTCACTTAATCCCATTGCCTAGCAAAAAACAAAAACAAAAACAAAATTTCATGTAAAACCTGATGGAGAGAAAGAAGGATAGCATTTATGACATAAATACTTTTTTTTAAAATTTCCCTAAAATTAACTGGCTATCCAGGATTTAGGCAAAGAAACCTATAGAGAAATAATCTCAGTGACGTAGAATTTAAGGAATGTCTTCCTCAAATGAGATAATATTTACAAAGTACTTAGCACAGGGCCTAGAACATAGTAGGTACTTGATAAATATTTGTCCATTCCCCACCCTCCTCCTTCTCGTCTGGTTCTAGAAATGTTGGGATTTGGTGACCAAGTCAGTGTTGACTCTATCCAGATCTTTTAGCGTTCTCCAAGCTTCAGTCACATCGCCTGAAAGTCTTTATCTTTCCAGGATTTATTAAAACAGCATCAACCCTCGTCCACAAGAGAAAACCAGCTGAGAATAGCAAAAAATCATGACTGATGATATTTTGCTTTGTGTAACACTTTTAACATTTAAAAAGCGCTTTCAAAGCCATTCTTATGTCCTCATCCCAACCCTGTGAGTTAGGCAGGGCAGATGTTGTTATCTTCATTTTACAGCTGTAGATGTATGAAGTGATTCACAGCTCTTAGTGATAAAGCCAGAATCAGAACTCAGATCTCTTACCTCCTAGCTGAAGGGTTTTTGGGTTTTGGCTTTTTTCCATCAGATTAAACAGCCTCAACTTAGCATAAACCAAATAGAAACTATAGTACCTGATTCTTTTTAATTATAAAAAGTTCTATTGATTTGGGCCTGTACTCCGTAGCCATGGGCCCCATACTCCCTGACTACAAAAAGCTGCCTTCTTAGGACAATCTGAATGAACTATGTTGATGCTTAACTAAAGAAACTGTGATGTTGTGATTGGTATAGAAAATACTATAAATCTAGTGAAATGCCTGTTGAACTCATATCCATTTTTAAAAATTCAATTCGAATGCCTCCTCCAGGAAGCTTTCATTGATTCCTTCCTCAATAATAGCAACCTTACCCACCTTAGACTTCACAGAACACTCATTTTGCCCTTCTTACACATTGGCACAACAAACCTGGTATAATAGCAAGAATTTGGGGCCTTGGCGCCACCAAATTCTAGGCACCATAGAATTTTAGAGTTGGAAGGGATCTCAGTGAACATCTATATTCCAATCCATACCTGGAAAAAAAATCTTCTCTACAATATATGACATTTATGTGACAGGTGGTCAACCAGTCTTTTGCTGGGTCCAAAGAAGGGGAAGTCACTACCTCCTGAGGCAGCCCCTTTGAGATATGGACAATTCTATCATTAGGGAAATTTTCCTTACAATCAGCTTAAAATCTGCTAAGGAATTGGGAGCCCTGTGTTCAAATCTTGGCTTTGATGCTTGCTAGCTCTATAGCTATGTGACTTCCCCTCTGGTGGGAGCTTCTGTTTTCTCATCTGTAAAATGGGGACACTAATCCTTATATTACCTACCTCATAGAGTTGGGATGAAAACACTTTGTAAACCTTACAATGCCATACAACTGTGAGGCATTATTAGTATAATATATTAGTCGATATTCTAACAATTGTGTTTATGTTGTCTGTCTGACTAGAATGTTAGTTCCAGGAAATCAGGGGCTGTATCTTAGTTCAATGTTCAGGATCTATAAAAAGAAAGCACGTAATAATGTTTGAGTTGAGTTGAGATGAGATGAGTTGACCTGAATTGCCTAGAGTTGAATGGAAATCCACATCCTTCCTAGTCAATGAGGGATGAATTACTCACCAGACCACCAGCAGCATGAGAAGAATAGACAGGCCAATAGTAGTGGAAGTCTGGTTGGCCACTCCCATGCTGTATATCAACACAACTGCAAAATTCAATAGTGTTGCCACTGTGGTCCATGTGGCATAAAGTGCAATCCCATTCTGCACCTAGAATGAGAATGTGATTTTTAAAAACCCACACCCACACCTCCAGCCTGAGAGATTGATAACAAAAGTTATTACTATGAGTGACTGATGTCATTTATCAGACCTGATTTCACTGATATAGGGAACTCTAAGCGAGGAAATTTCTTCCACCAATGCAGATTGCAACCTGCAGCTGAGAGTCAGAGGATTGCCCATGGGTCTATGAAAATTTAAAGTGATTCCACCAGCATCACACAACCAACATGTGTCAAAAACCCAAGTCTCATCAGATTGCATGCCATCTTGGGAAGGGAAGAGAGGGGGAAAAAATTTAGAACTCAAAATCTTATGGAAGTGAATGTTGAAAACTAAAAATAAATAATAACAATAACAATAATAATACTAAGGAACCCAAGTCTCCATGCTTTTCCATTAACTACTACACGGCAGCTACCTCTCCTACTACGATTACTAATGATAACTATTTTGGTCTAATCTGTGATTTCATGGGTATGGGGAACACCTGGTGTAGATACTGCCTCACTAATGCAGATCTCTGTAACTTATAATCTTAGAGAAAAGCCTGGAGCACCCTAAGGTTAGGTGACTTGCCTGTGGTCATACAACTATTAGAGGTCAGAATCTGACCTCAAGTCTTCCTGATTCCTATCTTGGCCCTCCATTGGCTAGGTCCTGATACCGCACAATGACTAATAAAAAACAGTAGCTCATGAAATAGGTAGCATAAGTTTTTAAAAATTTATTTAAAATTAATTTTATTGATATCTTTTGTTTTTATATAGCCTAAAATTTCCCCTGTAAGCTGCCTCCTCTCCCTTCCCAAAGAGCCATTCTATAGGATATATCATCATTTTACAGTTGAGGAAATTAGGGGTCAGAGAAGAAAAATGACTTGCCCAATCATGTTGTTAGTAAGTTATTGCAAACCAGTGTTCGATCTCTATGTCTGCGGTTCTTTCCTTTATCCCAGGCTGCTTCCCTTAGGATGTATCACATCATGGATACGTGAAAAGGATGGATTACGTGAGGGAGGAGGTTTCCAACTTCTTTCCCAAAGAGGACAATGGAATCATTGAAATGGCTCATGTTGCATCAGATGATAATTTGGAAAAGGGTGGAGGAACTTTGGGGGCCCTGAAGCATTGGTTTTGTGTGTTGAGAATTGTTCAGGGCTGGCAAAGGACAGTGTGAGAAGTTGCTTGGATAATAAATGCCTCTAATTGAATTGCACCTGCTGCCATTTTAATAAATGTAAGCACCTTGAGGGCAAGAACTATTTCATTTCTACCTCAGTTTCCCCAGCTAGCATATAGACACTTTATAAAGGTTTATTGATTAATTGATAGTTTAAAGGACACAGTTTGATATGTTCAATTCAATCTAATTCAACTGATATTTATTAAGCCCCTACTAAGACTGGCTGTGCTTTCAGGCAGTTGCCCATGTCTTTCATCAGCTCTTTGTTGGAACCACAGGATCTACAATACTCAGTCCTTTCCAGTACCTTTAGTTCCCATTCTTTGTCCTTCAGATGACCTTCTTGTGGCCTTAAACCTTACCTTCACCTTCCACCCCCAGTCTTTGATCTCTCTCCCTTCTCCTGGTCTCCAGCCAACCCTTGCCTTCGGAAAAGTCTTCTGGAATATCAGTAGCATCTCTTATTAGTTGCTGACACCATAAACTTGGAGTTTGGCTTCATAACATCTCAAGTGAAGTGAGACTGGGTTTGTCCCTAGGGCTGGCTGGTCTCGTGTTTCTGTGCCACGATTGGTGTTGCTGATTCTGGATGGGACGCCCTAGCGTTTATTCTGTTTTGAGTGGGCATGAGGAATACTTAGTGGGTTGTATGACAGAAAGAGAATTGATACTTTCTCTAGCTTATCATTAAAATCCTGTTAACCCTTTTTTTTCAAAAAAATATTTATTTTAACCTTCTTTCCTTTTTTAAATGTTGATTTCCAAATTCTCTCCCTCCCCTGCCCACTGAGAAGGTAAGCAATATAATATCAATTACACATGTGAAATCATGCAAAACTTATTTCTCTAGGTCCTTTTGACTCCTAATGGTGCAGTCAAGCTGAAGAAGGGTAACATGGGCAATTCCTGACTTGTATATAGAATCTCAATTGATCTTCATATAGGTGATATAGGTGCTACTGAAATCTCCATTTCACAGAAGAGGAAGTTGAGGTTGAGAAATTAAGGCCACACAGCCAGGAAGGATGGGAGGCATGATTTGAAATCAGGTCTTCCTGGTTTTCCACAACTCTACCTACTCAACAGGGGGAGGAGTACTTCTGCTCTACTGTCCCCTTCCTCATCTGAAGCACCCCCCCACACACACACACACACACAGTCTGCTTTCTTGCCTCACAGTCTTCTGTCAGCTTGTAATGTTGCCATGCAGTGTAGCCAACCCTGGACCACATGGCCACCTCCCCCTCAACTTCCATGGAGGCAAAGGTCAGACTGCCCACTCTCCAAACACAAATATAACCACAGACAGAATATCCCCTGTGCAGACTATCTCCGCTACTTGGATCACACACACCCCCCCCCAACCCAGGTGAAAATAGTTCCAGTCGTGACTCTGCTCTGCAGGCTCACAGCTGGCCTACCAGAATGCGGAGGAGCCACAGGTCAGTCCTATGGTGATTCTGAAGCCAGGTTCTATGGGAATGGAGTCCTCGACAGGCCAAGGAGAGAATCACATAATTGGAACCTGTGAGCCCTGTGAGGATAAGCAGAGCAGGGCTGAGGTATCTGAGGAGGAGAAAGAAGTCATTATTGTACCTTCTCAGTCCCCTGACCATCATGCCATAGATAAATCACCTGGTACTTTTCAGACCAAACTAAAAGGTCCACACTGGCATTTCAACAGCCAACCAGAATCAACTGCCTTGTCAATTCAGTTCCTAGCCCTGAGAGTGTGTGTGTGTGTATGTGTGTGTGTGTGTGTGTGTGTGTGTGTGTGTGCTCACATGCACTCATGCCTTTGACAATCATAGGATAACAGAATGTTGGAGCTGGAAGGAACCTAGGAGAGCATCCTTTCTGAGGCCCAGGAGGTAAGGTGAGATACCTTCCCTGAGGTCACATGGGCAGCAGCAGCAAAGGCAGGATTCAAATCCAGGTCTTCTAACTCCAAAACCAGTGGCTCTTACTCTGATCCAAAGCTCAAAGAAAGTTGTAGTCTGGTGTCTCGTTTACAGAAGCATGGTCTTCCAATGACATCAGACAGTGAAGAATTTGTCAGCTTTGTAGTAACTACCAACCCCTTAGCACAAATCCTTCTGATGGGGAGGAGTGATCTTCCTTCACCATCAGCAACAAACTCGGTGCAAGTGAGAGCAAGCTGACAAGGAGGCCTGTTGGGTTGGGGAGGCAGAAAGATCACAGATGCTTTTGATGGTGATAATGAATCACAGGCAGAAAACATAACAGTCAAAAAAATATAATGGAGGGCTAGGAGGTAGGGGTTTTTTTAATAATCAATAAACCTTTACTAAGCACCTACCATATGCTAAGTATTGTACAAAATGCTGGTGATAAAATATAAAAAAGGAAGACATTCCCTGCTCTCATGGAGCTTACAGTCTAATGGGGCGGGGGGGGTAGCACACAAAAAGAAGCTGAAAAGTGGGGTTGGGGTGAGAGAAGTTACGCAGAGAGGGGGCTTATGGAGATGTCCAGAGAAGTCCAAATCAGTGCAGCTGGGTGGGAGATAAGGAGATGGCTGGGCTGGGCCTCCTCTTTAAATGGAGTTTCCATATTTATAGTCACAGATTTATCTGAAAAAATCCTTAAAGATCATTTAGTCCAGCTCCCTTATCTTGCAGATGAGGCAACTGAGGCCTGAAGAGGTAAAATTATTTACTCAAGGTCATGCAAATCATTACTAGCACAGTCAACATTCAAACCCAGATCCCTTTAACTTTAAAAAGAATGCTCCTTCACCACATTGGCTCCTCAAGATTTAATCCTTTTGACCAATTTCTGAGTTCTGGTTTGAGGAAAAGTGACTACTGGCTCTACAGTCTCATGATGAGAGGCCCGGGGGGGGGGGGGCCAATTCCAGCAAAACCAGTTTATCCTCCCTTCTATTAACCTGCACTTTGGCACCTCTACCACCATAATAACGATCCTAATGATGCCCCTGGGGAATTGCACAATCCTGAAGTGCCTTCTGAATCATCAACAATTAAGTTGTTTTCATTATGATTTTGGCATTAAGTATATTTTATAATATTCTCATTCTTCGAAAATTAGCCATCATAGAATGTTGGCACTAAAGGAGACCTTGGACATCGTCTTGTCCAACCTCTTTTTTTAATAGATGAACCCAAGAAAGATGAAGTGATTTGCCCAAGGTCACAAAGCTATTTAGTAAAAAATAAAATAAATAAATGGCCTAGAATCCAGGTGTCCAAACTGCTGGTCCATATCCTTAGAAAGGCAGTCTTGTGTGGTGGAAAGAGCTCTGAATTGAGAGTCAGAAGGGCTACGATGAAATCCCCCCCTCCACTATTTGCTACTTGTGTGGCCTTGGAAACTATTACCCTCTCTTGTCCTGTTTCCTCATCTGGCAGAGGAAGGGGTTGGACTACCTGACCTGTAAGATCCAGCTCTAAACCTATTAACCAATGACAGCTGTGTATATATCCAAACCCCCATCTTCTACAAGAAGCCTTTCCCCGTCCTTCTTAATTCCACTGCCTTTCCTTTGAGATTATCTCCAATTCTTCCTGTAGATAGTCAGTACATGATGATTTTCATGTTTTCTCCCCAATTAACCTGTGAGCTCATGGAGAGAAGGGACTGCCTTTTGCTTTTCCTCATGTCTCCAGCACTTAGTACAATGCCTAGCACATAGCTGGCACGTAATAAATGCTTACTTACTGATGGAAACACTGACTGACATCCACACATATCTTTGGTCAGGTCTGTGATTTCATCAGTGTAAGGGAGCACTCCGTATGTAAACTCCCGCCTATCCTGCAAATTACAGATTGACTCCGAGAAGTGCTTAGAGCAGTGAGAAGTTAAGTGGTTTGCCATGGTCACACTACTAGTAAGTGGGCAGAAAGGATTAGAGCCCCAGTCTTCCTGACTCTGAGACCAGCTTTCTCTGTATGATGCAATACTATGTATATATCTGTGTGTATATGTGCATATAGGCATACATATGATTATGACAGAAAGGTATGAGCAAGAGTCACACCGGACGAAAAGGCAATCGGTCGATCAATCAATCACAACAGCTAACACTGATCTAGAGCTTACTATATACCAGGCACTGTTCTACCCACCTTATATCTCATTTGGTCCTCACAACAACCCTGCAACATAGATACTATTATTCTTTCCATTTTTGCACTTGAGGAAACTGAGGTAGAGAGGTTAAGTGACTCGCTGAAGGTCACACAGTTAGTAAGTGGCCGAGACTGGATTTGAACTCAAGTCTTCCCGACTCTAAGCCCCTATCCACTCTACAACCTATCCACTGTACAACCTAGTTACCTCAGCCAACAAGCATTCATTATGCAATTAAGCATTGACATTATTTTCCAGGCATTCTATTTGATACTGAAAATAAAAAAATAATGAAACCGTTTCTGGTCTCAAGAAGCTTACTTTATTGGGATAAACACTTGTACAAATATCAATTAATACAGAATATGTCTAAAGAAAATACATGGTAAGGGGTGGGGAAGCTAAAGGTGCTGGCACCTGAGAGAATCAGGAAATGCCTCATGCGAGAAAGAACTCCTGAGCTGAGCTCTGAAGGAAGCTAAATTAAGTCTAAGGTGCCTGATGGATTATCAGCTATCTTACTGGAGAAAGTACCCACACCATTCAGAAAGGCTGGAGAACCTATATGCATAAAGAATTATATATGGGTGTGTGCATGTTTGCGTGTGTATATATGTGTGTATATGTAGCATATGTATGTGATTAGGTATATGATTTCAATGATGTAGGGAGTTCCTAGGGAGAAAGTTCCTCTCTGCCCATAAAGATCAGTAAATTGTCTGCAACTTTGCAACTTAGAGAGTTAATTGGGGCATTGAAGGGTTAAGTGACCTACCCTGGGTCATATAGCCAGAGGTGGGACTTACACACAGGTCTTCCTGACTCTGAGGCCGAGGAGCCTCATATTCACTATGTCATGCTGATATAAATATGCAATATTTATGTGTGTATATGTGTATACATAGATAGATATGTATATACATATATGTATATGCATATATGTACATATATAAGTATGCATATATGTATATATTCACACACATATATGTGTTTGGGAAGCTAGGCGGGTGCAGTGGATATAGCACCAGGCCTGGAGGGAGGCAGGAAGACCTGAGTTCAAATCTGGCCTCAGACACGTATTGGCTGTGTGACCCTGGGTAAGTCACTTAACCCTGTTTGCCTCAGTTTCCCCATATGTAAAATGAGCCAGAGAAGGAAATGGCAAACCATTCCAGTATCTTTGCCAAGAAAACCCCAAATGGGATCACAAAGTGTCAGACACAACCAAAATGACTACACAACATCACATGTATGTGTTAATATATAAGCTTTTAAACTCTTAAACAGATATTGGATTAAACTGAACCCCTATTTCCTGACTACATCAGATAAGACTTTATGATACCATTCAAAAGATGGTGTATGTGACAACAAAATGCACTGGGAGCAGAAACCTGTGAAAGAAGCAATCATGCACATGTGGTTTATTTGCTCATTTATTTGTCTAGTTTCTCCCATTAAGTCAAACCTCCTTAAGGGGAGGAATCATGTCTCTCCTTTATCATGTAATTCAAGAACATGGACTTGTGGCAGGGTTTTCTATAGAAACTGTCCGAGAACACATGACCCCAATTCCCTCGTGTTGCTGGCCTGAAACATTCTATCCCCTAGCAACCACAAGCCAGCCTGTAGTCTAATACCTCCCTCCGCCTGACTCGGTAGCCTGAGCCCATCTCGTTCGCTGCTGCCAAGGGGTGACTGATACCCAAAGGACAAACACTGCCGCCTTAAAGACTAAGCAAAAAGAACCTCCAATTCTCCAGATGGAGAAGACCAAACCGGGGTGCCCTTGTCCACAGCTGGAGAGACGGCAAAATATATCCTGTACAGGCACTACAGATGGGCAAGGGTATGGACCTGGGTTGGAGTAGGAAGAGGAGATGGGGTAGGATCACATCACATTTGGAAGCTCACGTTTTCAAACAGCCTAAGAGGCTTGCAGCTGCCAAAGACAATCTCTTCGACACCAATATTTCTCTAGTGATGCTACAAAGTTGAGAATCTCACAATAGCATCTCAGGACCACCTCAAGACCCAAAATTGCAGGTGATCCTCAGACAGGGTTTCTTAACCTCAGGTCTCTGAACTTGGGAGAGAAGGAGGGACACAGAGAGACAGACGAACAGAGACAGAGAGACAGAGACACAACGAGACAGACGAACAGAGACAGAGAGCCAGACACAGAGGCAGAGAGAGAAGATATTTTTATGCTTACATAATATATTGCTTATGTCTGTATATATAATGTATGTGTGTATATATGCATTTCATATATGTGTATATATACATAAGCATATGTATATATAAAATTATTTCAAAATAATGAAATATATAACTATTTCAATACAATTGGAGAGAGGGAAGTATTTCAATATAATAGACTCTTTTACAGTCTTATGTATTTTACTTTAAGTACATAATTCTGAGAAGGGGCCCTGGCCTTCGCCAGATTGCCCAAGAGGTGCATGACACAAATTAAGGTTAAGAATCTCTGCCCTAAGACAATAAAAAGTTGCATAGCAGATAGAAGTAAACCACAGCATGTTATCAACACTGACGTAGTATGAGGAGAGACATAAAGGACATCGTCAAACCCACATATGACCAGCAAAGGGAGTGGTCATGCTTACAGTCTTGACAATACCATCTCCATCAATCATAGTTTGTGTGTGCGTGCGCATGGGTGTGCATACGTGGCTGTATTTAGTTGCCACGTGCTGCTTTCTCCAGATTCACATGGATACTCTATCAGAGGACATAAGTAGGTGAAGCGATACCATGGAAGACCGGCCTCGGCACGGCCAGGTGACCAATCCCAAAAACACACACTGGGATTAATTATAAAGAGTTTTATCATTCCCTTCAGGTCATAGCAGAATAAAAAGAATATATCCCCTCAGGAAAGGCTCCCAAGGCCAAGTTCTCTGAAAGGTCAAGAATGACAGTGATGGGTCAGGCCCCATCATACAACTTTAGACTTCAACTGAATTTGGAACCACAGGACCTAAATTAGAATCCTGACTCTTTTGCTTACTACTGGTGTCACCTTAGGCAAAACCCTAAACTTCTCTGAAGCTGTGTTATCTGAATGATGCAGAGATAGGACTTTGCTGTAATAATGAAATACAAGTATCCCAACACATATCAAGATGAAAACATGGTGAAAGCATGAGGGTCCAGTCAGTCTCTCCTAAACGATTTTCTATAGAAGACTAAATGTCCACAGTCACACAATTTACTAAAAGGTATATGTAATATGAGAGCCTATTTTGTTTATCAATTACAACAACAAATATTGACTTGATAGAGAAAAATGAAACCTTTTAGGCACTTCTCCAAAAAGATGTTATGATCAATACAAATTTTGGCTCTGCTAACTATGTGACCTTGAATAAATCATTTAACCTCTCTAGCACTCAGTTTCCTCATCTGTAAAATTAAAGAATTGGACTAGATATGCTTTCATATCCCTACCAACTCTATATCATTAATCTTATCACATTCTACTATCTGATTCTAAGATCCTTGATCATCAACTCAGACTTCCAGAAACTGTAGACTGCTGCACTTTTACCATATGTGAAGTTGTTATTCAACCACGCAAAAGATGTAATAGATGTCTGGGTGTGGTGGCCCACACCTGCGACACCTGATGCCGTGGAACCTGAGTCTGGTGGAGCCTTTAAGCCTGGGAGTTCTGAGCAGCAGTGGATTAGCTGATGGGGGTTCTGAACTGAGTTTGGCAATAATATAGTAAGCCCCTTGGAGCTCTTCTGGGCCCCAGGCTGCCTGAGGAGGGGTGAACCGATCCAGGTAGGAAACAGCAGGTCAAAGATGCCATGATGATCAGAATGGAACTGGGCCTCTGGGTAGCCCCTGCACTGCCAGCAGCTTGGGCAGAAACATGTATACACACACACACACACACACACACACACACACACACACACACACACACACGTACATACACATCCCCCCCCACATACATATATATCCATACATATATCTACATACACATACACATGTGTATATACACATACATGTATGTATACATATATGTATATATGCTTATGTAATTTTTAAAAAAGAAATAGATGTTTTATCTCTCCAGCTATTTTTTAACTTAGACAACAGGAAGGAGCTTTGCATGGGTCTATGTCAATAAGTACAGTCAGGAGTATTCTGAGACCTGCTTGTACTAGCTCTGAACATTTTTAAATGTTCAGTACAAGCATTTTACACCTCAGATGCTTATAAATCAGGATCTGATTTTTTTTTTTGCTTATTAGCTTATTAGTGGTTTCAAATTCAAATCGATGAGGGGAGTCACAGAACTGTACACAAGGACCCCTGCAGCCACAGGGCTCCTTAGCAAACTATACAGCATTACCCACTGTTAAATATTTCCCAGTTACAATCGATTCAGCCTAGGGAGTGTTATAGGCCAAATGCAGCCCTCTGGCCTTGTGTTTGACACTTCTGGTTTAGACTTAAGTAGCACAGAAAATATTAACCATGCAGATTAAGCTTAAAAGTGTGTCATGCCCACATTCCCCTGCCCCCACTTCCAGAGAGCCGGTTGTTAAATCTTCACCAGCATACCTGTGAACACCTCCCTCTTTCGTCATTGTTCTGAATTTCTTCTAGTACGCTGAACTTGGAGTGATGGGACATGAGTTCCGAGGCTGACTCCTCCATTTACTTGTGTGACTTTGGACAAGTCACAATCCCTCCTACACACCTCATTTTCTACTTCTGTACCCAAAAGGAACTGGAGTAGATGACCTCTAAGACCCCATCCAGCTAGAACAAAGAAATGCACCATGTGCTACACTGGAGCACAAAGAGATTAAGAGGCAAAAGAAGGACTAAATCAGATTCCTCTCGCAAGGCAGCAAGGGGCTGTGATCTTTACCCCTGAAGTGCTGATTCATCTCAGAGTGGTGCAATGGCCATGGTGCTGAATTTGGTATCAGGATCTGGATTCGAATATCAGTTCTGCCACTTATTACCTGTGTGATCCTGTGCATGTCACTCATCTATATGTTTAGAAAAAAATAAAAAAGGAGGAGGAAGGGATGGACTAGACCAGTGGTATCGAACTCAAAGAGATAGATCCCTGCAGGCACATACTGACTTAGAAAACCACAAATTAACATTATCTGTGTTGCATTGTATATTTTTTTTTAAACATTTCCCAATTACATTTTAATCTGGTTCAGGCTATATAACCTACAGGGGAGAGTTTGATACCTTCTAAAATGCTTCTAAATCAATGATCCAACTAACTGGACCTAGGGTTATAAAGTTGGAACGCTATGATTACTTAGGTCAGCACTGCATGGCAGATTTAGCTCCATGAGTCTAAGTACCTTTGTGGGAATCACATCTCACTTCACCGCCACTTACTCTTTGTCCCATAGAAACAGCCACCCAACATTCAAGGCGTTATTCAGGATCCACACCACGTAAAACAGAATTGGCAAGACATCTGGTTTCGCGTAGAACCATCCAAGTTCATTCCTGGCCGAAAAATAAAAGCATCCCTTCAGCAAGACTTACAGTCAGCTCTCACTGGATTCAATGAACCCCCCCACCCTTAACAGATCGCCAGTTTAGTGACTTACACGCATTCCATTTTGTTTAATAAAATCTGCTGCGCTCTGGCTAGGGGCCACGTACAGCACACACAAACATGTTTCGCCTCTGTGCAACACGTCCCAAGATTTATGTTTACAATGAAACCATCCCTAAGGACCCCACCTCCAATGGAAACTCCCTGACTTTCACAATTCAGTCCTCACATTCCCTATTTGACTTACTAATAAAGACGAAACTCTCCCAAACAACCTGTCCCTTCAACGATGGCTTAATTATTTCATGTAAAACACGGGTGAAAAGATTCAAGTGGGTGGGGTGACTACTTCATAAAAAAGTAGCTCTAAAATATTTCTTACTCCCTGTTCAATGACATGAGGAATCACACCATATACCATGGCAGAGTCAGGGGACTTGACCATGTGACCAAAAGTGTAAGCTCCATACAACTTTTGTTACACCTGTGCCATAGCCCTTCCTTTAAGGTTCATTGATAGTTAAATCCAATGGCACCTCTTGGATGAGTTGTCTTTAAAAAAAATGGATGCCCACCACAAGAAGATTAGTTAACTTCCCATGGTCTGAGGCCACTAGGAATGAGATTTGGGGATGAGGTGTGAAAGAGATAGAAGACAGTTCTCTGCTGTCCTTCTATTCATAATGAGCCCTACAAAAAAGTACAGATTATCCTGGATTCATGAAAGTTCAGGGCTTAACACTCTTAAATGTCCCCTAAATTGTTCCTCTTGGCCCCATGCCATGCAGAAATGGGTTTCTCTATTAGAGAACCACTAATCTGGCAAATGTTGAAAAGATAGCCATAGCACTAGCGCCAACAACCAGAGAGGTTCTGGTAAAAAGAACCTGTCTGATCCAGACCCTCTTGGTGTCCACTGGGGAAGGGAAATACTTCCTGGCTCTGGTGACTAAGGAAAGTTCCTTTTCAAATACAGTACCTTCTGCAGATTCCAGATAGAGCATAGCCAAGCCAAGCTAACTGCCACAAATAGATGACATTCCAAATGAAGAAGGTCCAGCCAGCTGGGGTCAAGTCAGTGTTATACTTGTTGGAGATGTTTCCAACAGTTCTCTGGAATATACCTGGAGTACATAATTGCAACAACCAAACATTGCAGCTGCTATACAAAAGACCCAACATTTCCTTCCTCATCTTCCAGTGGTGGGGGCTTCACTCTGCCTTGATATTAACTCCTGACCTTTACTAGAGCACAGTTACATACAAGACATTTGGGCTCTGCCCTAATAGGTTATCTCTAAGTAGACAGATGTGATTATATAACACGGATTTACAAAAGTAGGTCCAGCTTTAACCAAGCCATGCCCAGGAAAAAACAGAACTACATGCTAAATAACAATTAAAACCAGACAAACCAGCTCTGCTGGTCTCCCAGACTAGGGTGCAGAGGAACTTTAAAGAGTCAACAAATGGAGTCTGTAGAATTGGAGGCTCAGATTTCTCAACCATGTTCACTTAACCACAAGGTTGAATTCTATTAGTTGTTACTCCCCAACATTTACCCATGTATGATATTCTGATCACTCTTCCCCCTTGTATTAGTAGGAAATCATTGAGGGGGAGATTGGTAACCAAGGATTTTTTTCAGGTAGTTGAATGAAACAGCCAGGATACAAGTTGACTCAGAAGCTTAGAGTAGGAAGAGACTTTAGAAATCATCTAACTCGGTCTCCCTATCCCACCCATGGTCCTCTCTATCATCCCTAACATACAGCCACCCATCTTCTACTTAGATATTTCCAGTGAGGGGAGTTCACTACTTTATGAGGCAGCCCACTCATTTCATTGCTGGCCAACCCTAGTTATTTTCGGTCAATAGGTATTTATTATGTACTAGGCACAAAGTTTGACCCTATGTTGAGATGAAATCTGCTTTCCTGTCATTTCTATTTATTCACTGATCCTAGTTCTAGCAACATAATTCCTTAGGCCTCCAACCCACTGGTAAGCTACCTCCAACTGATTGACTTGAAGCAAGTTGTGGGAGAAATGTACCCACTGTACATAACCTGGTTCCAGCTGAATAGGTCAGATAACTACAGAAACTTTCTATAAAAGCTAAACATCGACTGTTCCCCTACCTTTGAATGCTCCAGAACCTGCCGCACCATTCATCACCACCATAACCACAAAAGCGACCATACTCAAAGATATTAAGAAAACTTTGGCCTTGTTGTGTGTAGACATTTTAGAGCCTGAAAAAAAAAAGTCAGAAAAGAGCATGGAAATCAGTGTCATTAGGATCGCACTGTGCTTTCGCCTAGGTCAGTTTCCTGTGCTGATGGGAGGAGGCAGATGAGCTGTTCCTAAAAGGCTTCCGATGACCAGTCCAAATGACAAATGCTATCTACGCTTAATTGGATCATGATCTTTCATAATTATGACAGTGGGTGGATTTCATTGAGTGTAGTAAGATCCTGCTTGGAGTTAATCTTGGGGGGCAAAACCCAACTGAGCCCATATCCCCCAAATTCAAAGCTTGAGGCAGTGAGCGTCTGAACAAGGTTCCAATTGGGAGGAATAAGTCAAAAGTATACTCTGACTCCCAATCAACAGAAAACACATGAGGGGAAAAGAAGGAAGGGAACAAGTATTTATTAAGCACCTACTATGTGCCAGGCACTGTGCTAAGTGCTTTATTAACATAACATCATTTGACCTCTGTGAGACAGGTATTCTCATTATTCCCGTTTTACAGTTGAGGAGACTAAAACTCCAAAAGTTTAAATGACTTACATGCAGCCCCCAAAAAAGCGTGTGAGGTCAAATTTGAACTCAGGTCTTCCTGAGTCTAGGCTTAGCACTCTATCCACTGCACCACCTAGATGCAAGCCTGTATCCAGAATTAAGAAAACTCTGTACAGAAAGTCCAAATTTACAACCCAAATTAATTAGACAATGATTTCCAACGCAAAAAAATTGCCCTCAATTTCGTGTAATATTCTTTTAAACAACAGCTTTAGTGAATCTAAAATACGATTTATGAAACAAGTTTTCAGGCTCTCTTCTGTTACACAGAGTGAAACACACTTACATTGCAATGTTTTAGGGAGAATGTCAATGATATTTAAAATCCCTTTTCATGATTGTAGGGATAAGGCACCGTAACATAGTTAAATGAATTCTGGTCTTAGAGTCAGAAGACCTGAGCTCCCCTTGCCTCTGATGCTTACTGGCTATGTAATCCTGGGCAAGCCACTGCCTCCTGTTGAGCCTCTGTTTCTTCACCTGTAAAATGGGCATGATAATATTTGTACTCCTTTCCTACCAGGTTGTTGTGAAGAAAGCTCCTTGTGAAACGTAAATGTAAATGTGCATGTAATATCAAATGGGACAGTTCAGGTAAGCCCTTTAATTACTTTTCCAGGATCCTCCTCATTCATTCTGTTTTTCTCAGCACTCATGCTGATGGAGATGGCCTGCAGTCAGATCCAGAGACCCCAAAGAGGAGAAGCAGGAAGTCAGACCCGCTGAGGGCAAACAACCCTCACCTCCTCCCAAGAGCGTCCTTTCCACTGGCTGCCTTCCAAAGCACCAACTCTTTTTAATTTCCTGAGTGCTTTGTTGTCTGTCCTTTGTTCTCGAAGAGGACCATGACATCAGGGAGGTGATGCCATGAATTGGATTTAAGTGAGGCAGGGCTGTGCAAAGTCACCAGCCTCGCTTTCTCCTGTGGAGCCAGCTGGATCCAGCGGCCAGATATAGATCAGGACGACTGGAGACAGCTCCCTCCTGAGCACCTACAAGCAGGGGTGAGTGGTTAAGGGGTACAGAGGCCAGCCTTCTCAGGCCCTTGAGTTTGCACATCCCTTTTCCCTGTGCATAAATCACTGAACACTCAGCAGGCTTCTGTATGCAATGTCTCCATCTCTTTCTGTGAGAGACCAGACTTCCAAGTTCTGCTTACAGAAGAATATTCATTAATCAGAGAGATGAAATGGGATCTTTGTTGCAATTTGTTTCTCAGATCAAAGTCTTCACAAAGAATTTAGGAACACGGATTTGCCCAGAGTTCCCCTGTTCCTTAATTCTAACTGTAAATTACTTAGAAAAATGTACCTAGCCAATCCCAGTCTAACATCATTATACGAAAAGGAAGTCCCGGCTTACCTCTGTGTTTTCACCTTGGCTGCCTGATGAGTGTTCCTGCTAGCGATGTTGGGAAGTCACTGGGTGTGAACAGGTTCCTCCTCTCTCATAATCCCTCTTTCACTCCCTCAAGCATCCTTTGCTCCAGAAAAGCTCGGAAAAATCTAGGAATGCCAGAGTGGGAAAGGGAAAATCAATAGTGGCCTTGGTTTTCTGAGACTTCAATGAAGATTCTGAAGATCAAAATGGAGATCTCCTTAGGACATATATAAAAAAATGTGCACCCATGCAAACATCTCCAGAAACTTAGGAAACAGAGAACATGGGACACTGCCTCCTTTCACCTGGGGACATGAATCCTATACTTCTGCAAGAGATAATCTAATTGTTTTGAGAGGCCCAGCTCCCAAAAAAAAAAAAAAGGTTTTCTCTCTCCTGGCTGGGCAAGTAATTCTCTTAGGCGAGGTGCTGGGAACCAACATGTGATAATAGTGACAGTGTTATAAACTGTCAAGTCTGGGAAGTGAAGAAAAGAACATGGCAGGAGTTTTGGGGGAAAATGACCATAAGAAAATAAATATACTCAATGGCATCTTTTCTCAGTCCTTTTCCTAAAATTACACAGAGATGGAAGTTGATGGTGGGCTAATTTTAGCTAATTTGTACCCAGGATCCCGAAGGCAGCAATGGCCATCTGGACCCCAAATATTCCTTTCTGATGGTCACTGGGGAGAGATGGATGAGGTGGAACAAGAAGTAAACTATTCTCCTTTGTTTTCCAGCCAATAGTGATATCAACATCAGGAAAAGCATGGAATTTAGCTGGGCTTGAATCCTTGAGTCATCTGAGAGGGTTAGAATCATAAGAATCTAACTATGGACTCTCCTTCCCTCCCCAGACCAAGGGAATAACATGGCCCGACTTAGCTCTCAGGAAAGTTAGCACTGTGTAAAGCATTAAGCTCATGTGGGACAGCTGCACCATCACCAGTCACCTCGACTTATGTCTTGCCACTGGACTGTGGTGACTCTGGAGAGAGTGAGGCTGATGACTTTGCACAGCTCTACCTCACTTAAATCCAATTCACATGCAAGTCAAGACATTATGCTCCTAACGTCATTGGTCCTCTTTGAGAATGAAGAATGAATAGCAACAATACATGGGTCAGTATGGAGTAATGGATAAAGTGTGCCTGTGATCCACACTAGCTGTGTGGCCTTGGGCAAATCATTTAACCTCTCTGCACCTCCTTTTTAAATGAGGTGGTTGGACTAGATTATTGTTAAAATCCATGTGATTCTTACTTCGCATTGATATTATAAGGCTGAAATGAGATAGTGTATATAAAGCACTTTGCAAACCCCATTTTAGTGCCAAGAGGTGGCTAATTGAAGCAATGTTCTTTTTTTTAAAGGGCCATTTTGAGGCAGTTGGCATTCTTTTTTAGCATAAAGGGAGGATTTTTTTAACTTTTGGCACAAGCTTAGGAACAGTATGTTTAGAAGAGGGTCTTTCTTGATTTGTGCCACAATGTGACATTTGTACAGGGTAACCACATGTTCTAGATTTTCCATGGCAGTATTAATTACAAAGGGGCACCTAGGTGGATAGAGCGCCAAGCCTGGAGAGAGAAAGACCTGAGTTCAAATCCAGCCTCAGACACTTCCTAGCTGTGTGACTCTGGGCAAGTTACTTAATCTTGTCTGCCTCAATTTCCTCATCTGTAAAAAAAAAAAAATGAGTTGGAGAAGGAAATTGCAAACCAATTCAGTGTCTTTGTCAAGAAAACCCTAAAAGGGGTCATAAATAGTCAGGCACGATAAAAACAACTAAACAACAACTAATTATCCAGTACTGATTGACTTGTAATAGGAAGTTAAAAAAAAACAAAAACCGCTGTCAAATCATGAATCTTGTCTTGAAAAATATGGTGGCTGTAGACCTACAGATAGACATGGCTTGAAAATTATATCATCAGCACCACCACCATCCTAATGAGTTGCCTATAGTTTGGTTAACCTTTCTTGTATCAGTTTCCTGATCTAGATGCATGTTGTAGAGGAGGGGTAAAAGGAAGATGCTTGTCAGAACACTCCTGATCAATTTGATATCTCCCCAGTAAATCTGATATAATCACAAAAAGGGGACAAAAAACCAGCAGCAAGGAGCTAAAATAAAAACAATGTCTGCGATTTGTTCATGACATATGAAGTTCTCCTTAATGGAAGGAGGAAGTCACTAGCTATTGGCTGCTAAAGGACAGGCTGAGCTCCTGGGCCATCTTGAAAAGGCAAGAGGGAGTACCAACCATAGCTGAGGAGACTGACAAGGAAGCCAGCGGCCCACCTCCTGACAAACAGACAGACAGATCATGGACTCAGATGCAGAACACATGAACTTTTGGACATGGCCAATGTGTGAGTGGGTTTTACCTGACTTTCTGTATTTGTTATAAGGATATTTTTATTTTTTTTCCAATTGATTGAGGGGGATGGGGGAGATCTGGTGGTGACAGGGACTAGTGATGTCACCTCCCCAAAAGAAAACAAAGAAAAGAAGGTCATTGAAACACCAAAAAGAAAAGCACAGAAAAGAACAGAAGGAAATTCATATAAGCAGTACAGTTTTGAAAGTAGCATTATCGTTGAATTTAAATGAGTTCAAATGAGACAATAATTTTAAAGTACCTGACACATAGTATTATATAAATGTAAGCTATTAGTTATTTTTATTAGTAGTAGCAGAGTTTTAAGTTTTTAATAACAGAACACTACACTAAAACTCGGGATGCCTAGATACCTTTTTTAAAAAAGCAAGCCATATGTAATAAAGATTAACAGATTTGTATACAATGGTTTTGGAGGGGGTTTTTTGGTAGTTCGATGGTGAATAGATGTTTTTTCTTTTGGTGTTTAAGTCCATAATAAAAATATTTTTAATAAAAGAAAAAAGACATTTCATTATCATAATTCAATAGGGGAAAATTTTTTTGGATATTACATATTTTTGTGATCTGTATTTCTGTTTTCTCTTACATTGTCATTACTAGCATATGCTACAGTCAAATGAAGGACAAAGAACTGATTTCCTCTTAAGAGCTGAGTTCTTTCTCCATTGCTGGCACTGTTCTCTTTCCTTAACTGTTGTCTTCCTGGAGAGTGTGTTCTGCTTTTTATTTTTCATTTTTCATTTTGGCAACACTACAATCAGGAAGACTTGAGTTCAAATCTGCCTTAGACACTCGCTAGCTCTATGACCCTGGGCAAGTCACTTCATCCTGTTTGCCTCAGTTTCCTCATCTATAATATGAGCTAGAGAAGGAAATGGCAAACCACTCCAATATCTTTGCCAAGAAAACCCCAAATGGGGTCACAAAGAGTCAAACATGACTGAAACAACTGTACAGCAACAATAAATATGCCAAGCAATACATGCTAGAATATTGAAAATGCTATTAATTTCCTCTGATTGAATCCAGCCAGCTCTCCCCCTTCTCTTTAATTCTTGGCCATTCATTGTCATGCAACTTGATATCACAAAGTAAAGACCATACATACCAAGGAGAATACAGTTTTCCACTACTAACAATACAGCGCATTTGCAAGAAATAACTATTATTAAAAAGCATCGCTACTGTATTATGTGGCCTAGTTGTGCCCTAACTGCCTACTTTATATCCTCTACCCCCAGCCCCAACTCTGGTCCTATCCCTTTGCCTCTAAACCGCAGTTCTTAACCTTTCTTATGCCATGGACTCCTCTGGCTGTCTAGTGAAGCCTGTGAACCTAGTACCAGAATGATATTTTTAAATGCATGAAATAAAATACATAGGATTAAAAAGGAAGCAAATTATATTGAAATGAATATGTGATTTTATTTTCCTATTCAAGTCCACAAACTCCCTGAAATCTATCCCCAGGTTAACAACCAATGTTCTAAGCATAGCCAATAACATTCTGACCTTCCAGATCAGGAGGATGGAAATCAGAGCTATAACACAACTAGCATGGGGCAATGGGGCTTTTCCCCAAGTACTGACCTGTGGGTGGGATGTGCTTCTTACCTAAAGTAAATCTCTCTGAAATTTGTTCCCTGTCCTGTGTCAGCCCCTCTCTGGCCCCTACAACCATGAGACACAACCTCCCTCAGTCTGCTATCCCCTTTCTTTGTCTCCCAGGCTCAACTTTGCCTCTCAGCTCCCATGGAATTGCGGGCAAAACTGTCCAAGAGATGGACCCTCTCCTGGGGTGACTTCACTCAGGAAGGAATTAACCCCCTCTGCCACCACTGCTCTCCTCCTTCCCCAAAAGTGTTTGCCTTGGATGAAAGAATTCCCTTGGCATATGAGGCAGAGCCTAGACTCAGTACATTTCCTCACTTTATGCAAACGATTATTGTTGTTGTTTGACCTTTGTTGTCAAAGCGGATCAATGACATTATGATGTCTTGACTTGAGCGTGCATTTCATTTGCTGCTGCACAGCCTCACTCTCTCCTCTGGAGTCATTGAAAGTCCAGTGGCAAGACAAAAGCCAGGACAACTGGCCATGGCCTAGGATGCAGTGGCTTTTCTAAAACTTCGGTCTTTCTAAATTAAGGCATAGTCAAGTAGCTCCATTTGAAAAGCAATAGGCTGGACCAGAGAATCAACTGACTCCTTTAAAACCATTATTTTTCTTTAAAAGCTTGTTTTTTCAGAGCTGTATTTCAAGAAATCATAAATGAAACTGCACAGGACAAAAAAGTAAGTTGTCCCAGCTTTTAGGGAAAAAATCTAGCCCCTAAGCCCCAAAATATAAGGCACCAAAAATTATATTTCTACAGACAGAGCACCCATATGTAAAGATATGGCTCCCCAAGTGCAGAGAGGGACCATGTGTGGTGAGGGGCTGTAAGTTGTGTGTGACTGCAAGGGAGACGGAACAGACAACTCCAGCTTCATCCTCCTCCACCCTTCTCCAAGAGACACTTTCATTCCTGCCAGAGGATTTTTTTGAGAGCTAGTTCTGGGATGTGTAAGCCCTTACTTCTTCCAAGGTGGCACGATGCAAGAAGAGGTGGCCTGTGCTCTGGTCTGCAAGCAACCACAAGCACTCTTCTCTACCCTGGACCTGTGACCAGTGCCCCTCTACCCCACCTATATAATGTGGATAATAGTAGTACC